GACCTCTGGATTCTACTTATCTTCCTCTTATGGCACACATGTTGTTCCTGGCTCTCTCCTCTACCCTGCATTTCTTAATGGATTTTACCAGAGGTAAATCAATATTTAGGAGAAATCTGAATGACTCTTACTGCATCACAAGAATAATCATCTAGAACAATCAAATTATACTTGAGATTAATCGGTCAAATGGAAACATGATAAACTCGAATCACATAAACATTGGCAAGCCAATTGGGAGTAGATTGAAAGAGTACCAAATAAAGTAGTGATTCTTTTATCCTAAACCTCAAGTCCCATATCTAGCCACATAAACTCTGGGAAAACTGAGAAATGATAGAAAGGAATTTTACCAAGATTTATGAGGCCAGTTTATCAAAGAAGCAAAAACATTGCTTCTACTCATCTTTGCTCAAGGAGCTACTTATTTCTGAAAGTTACTCTGACATTAACAAGGTCTTTTATATCTATCTATCACCTATCTGCTATCTAGGTTTGCTATCTACTTACTTATTTTTTAACAGATAGGGAAAAAAAAACCTGTTGATATTTTGATTGAGCTGTCCCCGGCCATAAGCGATGTCTTTCACAGAAATTTATCTTGGTTACAGGGATGTGATTTTATCTCTGCTCCTATGTATGTCAGCACTTCCCAATCATCCACACCAGGAGGCAGCTACTGTATTCCCAGGTCACCAAACCTCCTATTTCCAATAGAAATCCCCTTCTCTGGTCTTTTTCTTTTTTCAATCACTTTTCAAATTTTGCTGCCATTTTCTCTTTCTCAATCCAATCTCACTGAAGTAATTAAAGTAATTTCCACCTGCTTGGAACAATATCTAATAACAAACTCCTTTTATTTTATTTTTAGTGACATATACAGTGGTGTCAATAAAGTGCACTGATTTTAAGTGTACAGTTCTATGACCTCTATCAACACTTGGTTAAATGGGATTGCTAATGGTTAGTCCTCGAACTTAATATATCTCTCCATTTATTTAGATATTTGCTCTCAGCAATAATACGTAGTTTTTAATTTAGAGGTCCTGTACAACTTTGTTAGAACTATTACAAGATAATTGATTTTTTCCCTTGATAGTATTGCAAATGATATTTAACTTTATTTTCAAATTGTTTGTTACTAGTATATACAAATACAATTAGTTTTTCTGTATTGACTCAATATCCAGCGACCTTGATAAATTCACTTATTAACTCTAATAATTTGTACATTCTTTTCATTTCTTCATGTACATAATCACATTATATACTCATAAAAAGAGATTTACTTCTTTTTTCCCCAAGGTTATTGAGATATAATTGACATATAACAATTTGTAAGTTTAAGGTATACAACGTGTTGATTAGATACACTTAAATATTGTGAAATGATTACCACCATAGCATTAGCAAACACCTCCATCACCTCACATAGTTACCACTTCTTTTTTGTAGTGAGAACTTTAAGACTTATTGTCTTAGCAACTTTCAAGTATATAATACAGTATTGTTACTTTTCATTTTCCAATTATTGTAAACATTATTTCTTTTTCTTGCCTTACTGCACTGATTAAGACTTCCAATACTATACTGGATATTAGTAGTGATTGTTGATAACCTTATGTTGCTTGTGATCTCAGGAGAGGCCTATATTTTATCATTAAGCATGATGTTAGCTGAAAGATGTTCCTATCTATTGTTAGATTGCTGAGAGTTTTCTTTCTGTTTTTTCTTAATGTATTGGTGTTGAATTTTATGAAAGTTTCTCTGTATCTATTGAGATCACCTTATAATTTTCCTCCTGAAAGTTAACATACCAAATATAGTGATTTTCAAGTCCTTGTAATCCTAGAATAAATTCCATTTGGTAATGATGTATCACCTTTTTAATATATCACTGACTTAGTTAGATGATATATTTCAGGATTATTTCATCCATGTTTCTGACAGATCTTAGCCTGTAATTTTCCTTTCTTGTAACATACCTATCAGATTTTGGTATCTGAGTATGCTTGCCTCATAAAATGACTTGGGAGCATTCCCACCTCTATTTATGAAAGACTTTGTGAAAGACTGGTATCATTTATACCTTAAATATTTGAAAGGATTCACAACCCGTCTGGGCTTGAAGTTTGTTTTTTTAGTTTTTTTCTCTTTTTTTTTGGTAGAAAGGCTTTTAGCTACACATTCATTTTCTTTTGTAACCTTAAAAATACTCAGATTTATTTGAGTCTATCAATTTTATTAACCTCACAAAGTATAAATTTGGCATTATTGTCTCTATTGTATGTCTGCTTTCTATTTTATTCATTTCTCTTCTTATCTTTATTTCCTTCCTTATGTGTTAAAATCTTCAATGATGAGAGTGAATTTAAGTTCTATCAATTATGCTTTACAAGTTTTGAAACTATGCTTACAGGTACACACAAATTTAATATTGTTATGTCTCTCTGTTGAATGGATCTTTGTCCTTCTTTTTCTCATAATATTTCTTTTCTTAGAGTCTATTTTGTCTGATATTAATATAGCTATACTGATTTTCTTTTGTTAGTCTTTGCATGATACATTTTCTCCCTTCTTTATCCTTTTAATCTATCTGCTTCTTTATATTTAAAGTGTGTCTCTTGTAAACAGCATATAGTAGATCTTCTTTTATTATGTAGTCTGACAATCTTTGCTTTCAGTCACAGAATTTAGGCCATTTACATTTAATGTAATTACTGGTATAGTTGGGTTAAAGTTCATAATGTTGCTATTTGTTTTCCATCTATTTTATCTGTTCTATGTTCTTTCCTTCGCTTAGCATTATATCATATAATGTCCCATAACTCTACATTGAGTTCATACATTTTGTTTTTAATGGCCCCACAATAGCCCATTGTTTTGACCCACATCTTATTGAACAATTAGCTATCATTTATTTCTTCTAATAATTTTTCTATTACAGATAATGCTGTGCTGAGCATCTTTATATACATCACTTTCCACTTTGTGTATTATTTCCTTTGGGTATATTTTTTAGTGCAGAATTACTGATTCAAGGGATAGAAACATCTTTATAATTCTTAGTACAATTTGTCACCTTGCTTTCCCTAAAGAATTACTCCAGTTTATAAGGTTGTTAGCAGTGTGTAGCTATAGTGATTTCATTGCAGTCTTGATAGCACTGTGAGTACCTTTTTGAATAAAAAAAAAAGTATGGAAAAGACCTGAAGGGGAATCAGAATTATGATTACCAATGCCACTGCTGTGTGTAAGTAAACAGAAAAAAGGAAAGCCATTTTCCTGAAATGTGTTCATTTCAGCTACAAGCTGGACTAAAATTCCAACTGTTCTGCTTCTATTTTGCACACACCTGGGCTTTGGCAATAGAGCCTGTAAATAACTTTGTAAAAGAATGCATATTTATGACATAATATGTGAACTGGCATATACTTTTTATTTGAGTCTAATAAACCTATAATTCACAAATAAAACCAAAACAGGTTTACAGCATCAGAGGAAAGAGAGGAGAGAGAAAGGAGATCCAACTGAAAATATGCTTAAAAGCACAGTGAACACATGTTTCTAAGTTACATTTAAATCTTATCATGAATGATCTCCAAATAGAGTGGCAGCATCGCTAAACTTAACGGTCATTGTTTCCCCAGGTAGGTGATTGTGTTGAGGAGTAGTGGAAAGAAACTCTTAACATTGTAATTACTTTGCAGAATACTTAAGGTGACATTATCTCATTTGAGCACAAGTACCCTGTAAGGCACATGTTTCTAATTGTTTTGTAGAAGAGGAAATTGGGATTCCCTAGAGGTGAAATGATTTACCTAAGTTCACATAGTTGAAAACTAGCAGAGTGGTGACTCAAACTTATGTCTTAGCTTCTTAAGCCTGTGACCTTTTCAATATGTCTAAGGGTTACTTCCAACAACTGTTATTGAAATGTTAATCTACCACAGAGTTCTTTATTAGAAAATATTAATGAAAATGACCATAGTGAAGATGAAAACTTTTCCAAAGAATTAAGACAAGAGATTTATTATAGCATGATCTAAACTGGCATAAAATTCAGGAGATTCCATCACTGAAAGTGCTATAGAAACTCAGTAAAATCCTATCTTCTTGACATTATAGCCCTATGATCTGGACCCGGGATTTCAGTCTTAGAACACACACACACACACACACACACACACACTCACACACACACACAAAATAACACCAGAAAGTAAAATAATGGTAGAGTAACAATGTCATTCATAATCAGGAGCCCTCTGGGTCTTCACACTAAATATCTAGTTTTTGAAATTTAAAAAACAATGCCGTGAAACTTCATTGTAAGAGATGGAAAATAAAAATTACCTTTAATTAAGCAAATCTATTGTTTTTGGCTAGTTATCTTCCCCTAAAATCACATCTCAAGTCTTTACTCAATTCATGACAAACATTAACTAGCCTATTATTAAAAATAGAAATATTTCAGCATGTTACTCTCAGGGTAAATACCTATAAGCTGTCTTTTGAAAGTTTTTCATGTCCACAAATAATCTCTACTGTTTTAGAAATCAGTACACTTATGCACACTCTCAATCCTTCTTAATCGTATTATTATAAAACAAATCTGAATCTGAATAAAGCAAGATATATAAGTATGGATCACATTGGTCATAATTTTATCATCTTCCTCCAGTAACTTCACATTAATAATTTTTTTTAAAAAACCTTACATCTAAAAGAAGTAAATCTGATCCAAAACATGAAGTATTTTATAAATCTGAGGTGACTCTTATGAGTATTTAGAACCAAATAAGTCTGTCCATTCCTTGCTCCTAATGTTTTAGTTCCATGTGCCAAGGTAGCAAAATGAGTCCTTCCTGGAACTTTTTAAAATTATATCAGCTGACAGCTGTATGCAATCAATCTGATTCAACCAGCCAAAACTAGATTTCTTTCTCAACCAACCCCTGAATCTAAAGTTTGTGTGTCTTGGAACAGAATGCGTTTTTATGTGGGAAAAAAATAGAGTAAATCTTTTATTTGGTTACCAGACCCAAAATCTACGCAGAGCTCTCTGCCTCATAACATTCATGCTGACCTGTGGGGTCCTTCTCCTGTTATTCTACTGGAAGCCGCAGTGGAGGGTATGGGCCAACTGTATCCCATGCTCCTTGCAAGAAGCAGACACTATTTTGCTAAGGACAACGGTGCGTGTCCTTCTGTGTTGCATCTATTGCACAGCCTGTGATGGCCAGCATTCCAGAGTGGATCCTCCTCTATTTAAGTTTCCCTGTCCACAAATAGGAGATGGCAAAACTATCTCTGCCGTCTATTTGCTATGTCTTATTTTGACTCAGGAATGAAGGGCATTCCCTCCACATCAGCCTGGAGAAATTTCTACCATGTCAGGCTCGTTGTGAGAACCCTTAGCCATTACATGAGCAGTGGCTGTCCGTGTTATAACTCTTAAAAACATAACATGGGAATGATTGTTCAGTTTTTCAGAAATATGTATTTTGAGGAAATTATACATTTTAAACATCAAGGTGTGATTTTAAGATGGCTGGAAACTATTTTCTAGATATAAAGTTTCTTGCAAAGTGTATCTTTCTCTTTATTCCCTAGCACAGTGGTTCTTAAATTTTAGTCCAAATCAGAATTACCTGGAGGGATCTTTAAAACAGAGACTGCTGAATATTGGATCCAGTAGGTTTGGGGTGAGGCTGAGAACCTGCATTTCTAGCAGGTTCCAAGATAATGCTGATGCTGTTATCTGCAGCTCAAACTTTGGGAACCACTGGTCTAGCACTTGGTAGGTATTTGGTTGATTGAGTGCTTTATTGAACAACATTGGAGAATTTATGGGCTGGATTGTCTTCTCTAGGATGAATTTCAAAGATATATGAGGAAGAAGGTAATCTGCCTCTACTTATCCACACTGAAGTTTCCTGTAAGGAAGAACCCAGAAGAACCCCTGGTGGCTGACTACGACTCTGTCATAAACCAAGCCATACTGAAGCCAGAATTAAAAGTAAGTGATTTTAAGAGTACAATGTTATGGCATGTTTTTGTTACAAGAAAATAATGTATTTATTGGATGAAAGTTCTGAAAATCACACTGCTGGGCTGGGAATTACAGCTACGTATCAAGGAAAGTGAGAGCTGCATGTAATAGACAACCCTCACCTCCCCTGATGGGCTTTACTTTGTGAATGACAACTTTTCTATTACATTTGTAACTGCATTTGCAGTGTATCCAAGTGCAGAAAATCAGGTATGTTTGGAACCACTTGGAGAAGAGGTTTCAGAAAGTTGGGTAAGTCCGAATTTTCCTCAGCACTCATCAGGATCTACAGGAAGAACACTGATTTGTTAAGTACCATGAACTGAAGTACGGTTCCTGTCCTGACCACTCCCTAGGTTGCTGGAAGATAGCAACACCTGCTACAACATCCATCATACGTTTGGACTGGGTCTGACCGGTGGAGAACAAGAGGTCAGGTGGGGTTTGTGGTACTGCTGGAGTAAACTCTGCGAGCAGAAATGGAGATACCACATCGCTTATGATCAGTGAATTGTTGGCATAATGTTTCATCAGCTTCATATAACCCCAGCTCATTTACTGGCATCAGAGAGATGTCGTAAATTATTCTCATCTTAGGCACACTAATTAAAAAGAAAAGACTGAAAGAACAGTACAAGCAAATAACATTTGATCTTTTCTCTCAGGATTATAGAACAGTATTCTCTGTGTTGTCTTTTCTTTCCTCAAAAATTCTTGAGTCATTTCATAAACATCAGTATCTTAATACTCCAAATCCTCTGAGAGACAGAAAGACAATATGATGATTGCATTTTACTATGGAGAACCAGCCCTGGAGAGAAGGATCCTGTTTGCTCAGTTAATTGTGTCATTCACCACTGTTATTTACAGAACCTAGAACAGTGCCTGATTCATGGTAGAAGCTCAATAGATATGTGTGGAAGGAATGAATAAGTAAATGCATTCATTGATCTGTGAACTAAACTCTAATACGTCAGGCATTTCGCAAGGCACAAGGGATCTAAGGATAAATAAGACTTAGTCATTGTCTCAGAGACATTAACTGACTGGAAGGAAAGAGAGACAAAGAATAGTGGTACAATTATGAGAATGAGATCTATGGATGCCAATAGATTAGAAACTCATAGTATAATAGTAGCACAGGAAATTCTTAGGCTCCTTGTTAACTCACAGTGACCTAGAGTCCCTGCTTCCCTCATCTGTAGTTTGAAATGGCGAATCCTGGTGACTGAAAGTAAACCATTGCAAGCCTTCCCAGGAATCTTAATAATCACCTTCATTTCTTGCCCAGTTTTAGGGACAAGAAGAAGGATCTGCCTGACCATCTTCACAGTTAGTCAGAAACAAAAATTCTCAAGCTAAGAAGCAATCTCGTACTTAAAATACAGGTTCTTGGGTTCTCCTCCATAATTCTGATTTAGTAGGTAGAAGCTGGGGTAGTGGTAAGAAAAGAAACTGCATTTTTAGCAAGCACCCCCATAATTTGTATTCACACCAAGCCTGCGAGCTACTGATCTGTTATTGTTTTCAAGTCTTCCCTCTGTCTGAACGCTATGCAAAATGAACCAGGCATCTAGATTATGACAATATTACAAAGTGCCTTAGAGATGGTATCATTATATAAGATTTCAGATACAATACTTAAAACACTGAAATACAAGAAGTTTTCAAAGTCATTAAAAACATATTGCTTTAATAGCGTTAAGCACAGGACATTTAAAGGATTGATCTATTTAGGAAATCTAGTTGATAAATATAGATATACTCTGCCTAAGAAACCATTTCCACAGGAAAGATTTCCCATCCGTGTAGCTACCTCATGTTTGTCCTTATTTATCAAGTGCCAATCTTTGGTAAACATCATACATAATTAAATTTAAATCTGGTCCACACAGTAAAGAACTTGACAATCTAATAAGCAAGACACAGAATATAGTTTCCCAAATATGAAGACTAGAGGAGGCAATCTACTTAGAATCATAGAGCCACATTTTATTTTGTGGGTTTTTCTCTTTGGAGAGTAAAGAAAGCAAGTAGAATATGGAGCATTCCCCCGCTCCCCCACCAGTTTTCCCTTTTGTATTTTAGTGTAAGACTAAATGCTTTTTTCAAAAATTTATTGTGATTGGTTGGTTGGTTGAATGACAGCTTATCAATTTCCTAAATCAATTCGAGCTTGCTTGCATGAAAAGCAAGGACCCAGTAAAAGAAATAAAGGAAGAGGGATACACAGAAATCTCTGATCATAAAAAGCCACAAAATCTAAATACAACTTCCTCTTTCAGGCTTCATAGCAGCAAGGCAAAGAGAGAAAAGTGCACAGATGTTCATAGTCTCACTTTCCTGTAGCAAAAAGCAAATCAAGACATCAGCTGTGATCATTTTACTCTGGAGAGAAATTGCCAAGGGCATCAGGAATAAAGCAGGAAAATTATTCCAGGAGGTTCCCTGCCCCTACCTTCGTTCATTCATGAACCGAACACAGCTTTGCATCTTAGTGCCCGTCCCAGACAGGTCCATAGACACTTGGGGTAATTCTCTTACCGCAGGGATACAGGGCCCTATGGAAAATACACACTTACCTCATCCCTCATTCATCCAAGCTGTCTTCCTATTAGGACAGTTTTTAAGTTGAGTGACCCTTCATCTTTTCACTTAGCCCACCTTTATTTAGCTTATTTACCTTTGCTTCCTTTATTTAGCCTCCTGAAGGAGAACTTTCTGGCAGTAGAGATCCAGGCACGTCCTAATCAGGGGTTAGCTCCAGACCAATTGCCTTGTTGGTAACCCAGAACTCTAGAAGAAAAAAATTTTGGTGGCTAAGGTTTGCTAATGTCTCTAATGGGAATACTCCAACCATGGCTGATTTCAGTGTGACATTGCTGACTGTGGAGCTGTGAAAGTGGTACTCATAATTGGCTTGGTGATTCTGCAGGACCAAACTTAATTCTCAACACTTGTCACACCACTGAGAAAAAAAGACATGCCTGTTAGTACCAAAGGAAAGAAATCTGAGTGACAGCAGCAAAAGAGGGTGGATTTGCCATCAACGCTTCAGCTCCAAGCTGGTGGAAGCTGTTCCAGGAGAAGAGAGAGAAAAAAGAAGCAAGAGGAAGGCGGGGGAGAGAGAAAGGATTTAGGGCTGCTATGAAACCCTTTTCTCTTACTCCTCAGGTCTTGTGGGAAGCAAACGTCAGAAAAGAAATTGTGCCTATAGACCATGACCTTTTCCCCTTGGAAAGCTCCATCTTTAGAATACAGCCCACATATAGATACTCACCCATCAGATCAGTTCTTTGAGAAAAAGAGCAAGGAAGGTTTGGTTGGAGTAGAAGAGACAGGCTTTACTCATTCTTCTGGAATCCAACGAGATTGTCTCAAATCTTAGCATTTGGTTAGAAGTCAATAATTTATGTAAAAATATAACCCATGGTACTATGGCTCTGAATCCACTCAAAGTATAAAATCACTTAACTCTAAGGCCTTGTTTCAGAGCAAAACCTTATGGCAGCGCGAGTAAGTCTAAGTCCTGGGTCTCTCTGGATATCCTGGGATTTCTCCATCCCCACCTCCCCCCAGATGCCCTCCTGGTCCTCTGCTTTCTGGATCTTCATGCCTGGGAATGCTCCAGGCACTTTCCCCAAAAACCTGATGAGAAGCACCTCACTTAGCTCACATATAGGGCATGAAAACCTGCAAGAACTTGAGGTTATCTGAAAATGTGCTTTAGGAAATGAAAGAAATAGACAGATCACAGATAAGAACTAATGTGAAAAAAGAAAATCACTTTTGTCATTTGTAAAATGGGTCCTCTCTGTACAAATTATAAAGTATAGAAGCAGGTTCAAGTACTGCTAAAATAGGGATTCTTTCCCCTGAAAGCAGTTTCTCAAAACATGCCTATCTTGTTATTATTATTAGTTTTTAATGGGAAGGCTCTAAGACCAACATACGTGTTATATTCTACAACCATACCCAAATCCCAGAAATTGGGTACCGTTTCTATGCATCTGTGAATTTCTTAGCTCTCGCTTCCTTTAGAAAGTGGGTATGTTAGGGGAGTGAGGGATTAGCTAGCAAAATCACCTGGGAACTTTTTTCAAACTCTAATAAACCCGCTCCCTAAAAATTCCACAGTTCATGGAAATGGGTCATGCCAGAATCCTCAGGCTTAGTATTAACTGTTTGGAAAACTACAGGCCTCCCTTCCTGCCAAGGACTCTATTGGTGGCTTATCAGAATGGAAGCCGAGCAGTCACACGCAGTTTGAAGATGCTCACCAGTGATTCTGACATGCTCCTCCTGCCTCTTTGAGGACCCCCAGCCTAGTCTTCACCATGTGGAGCCTAAAGGGCCTAGCAGAAAACATATTCTCAACAATTATTTGGTGAATAAATTGATAAATGGATGAATGAATGAACAAATCATCAAATTGAAAAGAGATAGAGACCATCGCCAAAGAAAATATTCCTAGTCATTCATGCTTGGTTTTTCAGAAATACCTTCCAGCAGGTTTACTAATGTCTCATGGTTGCAAGAAACCTCAGTGCTCCTTCAAGCACAGCTCATAGCCAGTGCAGAAATGCCCTTCATAACTTCCCCTGTTAAGAAATCTCTTTGGAGAGGGACCTTCTACGTCTGAAGCAATTATTCCCCTAATGAATGGTCCTGAATATTAGGCTAGTCTACTTAATTTCATTCTGACTATTTAGTTTTGTGAGGCCTCCTGGAATAATTCTAGGGCTTCTTTTCCCCCTGCCAGCTCGTCAGATTTCTAAAGTCAGGGCATGTCATCTCCTTTGTTCCTTGGAACTTTGCTCATGTGACCCAGCTTCAAACCTCATATTCCTTCCGGTTGCTCAGCCATTGGTCGCTGTCCCTGAAAACTCTGCTTGGCTTGTGCTGAGATCGCGATGAGTACACAATTCCCTAAACATGCAATACTTTTTGGCAAGAGACAGTGGAATAGATGAAGCAGCAAGGGGCATGCCCGTCTATGATTCAAACATGGCTGTCAACTGAGGAAAGAACGCACAACCTAAAAGTTGAGAATTATGTTTATTTGGCGGACATTCTGAGGACTTCAAGCCAGTGAGACAGGACTCTCAGGTCTCATGGAGGTCCATCCATGTTGCTGCAAATGGCATTATTTCATTCTTTTTTAATGGCTGAGTAATATTCCATTGTGTACATGTACCACATCTTTTGGACTATTGTGATGATCAAATGAGAGAATCTTTTGCAAGAACTTTGTAAATTGTAAATTGCTATGCAAACACGAAGGCTTCTTTTTCTAAATTTTTATTTTATATTGGAGTATAGTTTATGTACAATGTTGTGTTAGTTTCAGGCATACAGCAAAGTGATTTAGTTATACATATATCTATTCTTTTTCAGATTCTGTTCCCATATAGGTTATTACAGAGTATTGAGTAGAGTTCCCTGTGCTGTACAGTAGATCCTCACTGATTTTCTATTTTATATATAATAGTGTGCATATGTTAATAGTGTGCATATGCTAATCCCAACCTCTTAATTTATCCCTCCCTGAGGTCTTCTTATTGTAATGTACATATGTGTGGATTTACAAGTTGTTAGCCGTGAGGACCATATACCATCTTCCACTTCATTGGCTCATTCCTTCATGTATTCATTGAGTTCATATGCTAAGGACCTGTCCTAGGTGTTGGAGATACCAAGGTAAGATAGACATGATCTCCAACATCAAGGGCAGTCTAGAATGCCTGAGAATTCTGGGAATATCTTCATATCTGTGTCTTAGAATATAATCAAATTATTTTTTTAAAAAAACTCAAAATGCCTTTCTAATTTCATTTTGATTCTTAAGTTGTACTGTACTTAAGATATATTTTAACCAGAAAAACAACTTTGTCCATCTTGTACTAACTTTCATTTAAAAATGTATTAGTATTTTGAGATTGGCACGCTAATTTTTGATTGAAGACACAAATTCCCTGAAGGGTAGAGAAGGGACTCCTGCTTAGTGTGGTCTGTACTCACTTATTAGTATGAGCATGTAGCTGTGATGCTAACAAATGATCGATCTCCTACAGAAGATTAGTGTGGGGGTCAAATGCCATTGAGGTCGAAATCCAACCCACGTGGAAGCTGCTTGTTAAACAGGTAACTGTTTTCATTTATTTTTGAAAATAAACTCCTGTTTTTTCCTTTTTTCTTTCTAGTACTCAAAGAAATCGATGTAGACAAAAGTCTGTGTTTTGTGCAACTTTTTTTTGTTATTCCCAGTGACTTTAGTTTATGCCTTTCCTGTCTATTGAGGTTTTCTTTTTTATTATTATTTCAATAAATATATATATTTTATACCAGTAATTCTAACTGGTCCTTTTCAGTAACCACTTGTTTTAAATTCAAATCCCTTCCCAGTGTGAGGGACAGATTCCCGTTTCATACTCTCCTGTTTGTTCGTTTTGTTGTTTTCAGTGTTTTATGGTGGTTGTGATGGGTGGGGGGAGTGGGAAGGGTTGTTATTATTTCATGATCTCTTTGAGGATTGAAAAAGGATTATTTTGGTCTTTTTCGTACTGTTCTATCACTCTATTATATCCATTTTCTTGAGAGTGACTTCTTCCTTGGTTGGTGTTTTTGTTTGTTTGTTTTAGAATATTTTCTCTGTATGCTTCGAAGTTATTGCTTTCGGTAAGCTCAGCTTGGGTGGGACTTTCCCTTCTCCCATTTCTCTTCCTCTCTGTGCTCACTCTCCCTTTTTGGTGGTTCTTATTAGTCCCCATGTGTCCCCAGTTCAGAACTAGGGCCTGTGTTGGAGGTTTGTGCTCTGTCCCTTGGGGATCTGTTCGATGCAGTCCCCGAGCCAGCTTGGGGCTTGGCCAAGTTCACAGCTGCATCACCAAGTTGTCTCTCCTATTCCTCCCTCTGCTGGTGAACCCTTGCTGGTTGTGACTTTTCTCAGCCTCTGCTCTGGGGCAAGCCTGGTTTTGTCCCCTGCCACTTGTGGGACACTTATTCCTCCTAGCATTGAGCTCCTAGTCATTGATCTCCAGTCCTTGTATGAAAACCAACAGACTGATCAATCAGTCCCCCCTCAGTGCTGCATGTTTCTAGTCTATTTCTAATCCACAAAGATGGTCATTTGGGTTTTTAACGTGACCATTTTTTAAAATAAATTTTTTATTAGACTTTTTTTAGAGCAGTCTTAGGTTCACAGCAAAATTGATTGGAAGGCACTGAGATTTCCCCCATACCCCATGCTTCCACATATGCACAATCTCTCTTACTATTAAAAAAGCAGGATGCTTTTTAAACATCTTATTCAAGTACATTTTCAAATTACCAAAGACTCTTTCAAGTGTCAATTTAGTCTATTTTGAAAAGAGTGTTAATATTTTCTGGCACTTATGAATTAGGCCTTTAGTAGAAACAAAAAAATAAAACTATGTCTTCACATTTGGTTTCAAAAGAATATTGAATAAGGGAACTAAATTAAATGGTGTTGTTTCTTCTACAAGAAGTATTTAACCAATTTTCTACTGAGTTTATACAAACTCAAAATCATATTATCTCAAATGTGTAATATACAATTAAAGCATTTTATGCCAAGCAGACAGAAGAGCTATAATTTGTAAGAAAACATGTTGCAACGGAAATTATAAAAACGTTAAGGAACACAAGCTTCTTTAATGTACAAAATATATCCAAGAGTTTAAGAAACTTTTAAGATGTGTCCTATTAACTTATTAACCAGATGTCAGTTCATTTTTAGGACTAAGGTAGAAGTTTATTTAATATATTAGAGAATTATAGAAAGTAGAGGTAAGAAAAAGCGGCAGTGGTTTTAGGTACTATTTCATCTAATTCATAATAATTATAAAGAGCACCTCACCGAGAAAAGAATCCTTGCTTTGCTCAGATGGACTCTTTATTCAAGCTGTGTGTAGGTCATGTGACCTTCTCTAGCTCCCTGGGGTTTGCCCTCTCTGCTATTATTATTAATAGTGAAGTCAGCAAGACCAAAATGGGGACAGCTGAAGGAATTTAAAAAGTTGAAGATGTTATTAACAGACCAAAAATACCTGCATGGATGACCATCTTTGGGGCTGGTGACAAATTCTGCCCATGATTTTCACTGCATCTTTGGATAAGACGTTTCCCTTCCCTGGGTAAGACCTTCCCTCTTTGTTCAAGGGAAGGTCCATGCTGACTCGACTGACTCTCAGAGGATCTTACTAAGACCTGTGACATGACAGTATGTTATTGGTAAATGAATGACCTGGATAAAAGTGGAATCTTTAATTTTCATTGTACAACTTGACTACATTGGCAGGATGTGATTGCATGAAAAAGAAACCTGCAATAAAAAGGGGGAAGGGTAAACTGTGACAAAGCGAGAGAGAGGCATGGACATATATACGTAAGGTAGATAGCTAGTGGGAAGCAGCTGCATAGCACAGGGAGATCAGCTAGGTGCTTTGTGACCGCCTGGAGGGGTGGGATAGGGAGGGTGGGAGAGAGGGAGACGCAAGCGGGAAGAGATATGGGAACATATGTATATATATAACTGATTCATTTTGTTGTGAAGCAGAAACTAACACACCATTGTAAAGCAATTATACTCCAATAAAGATGTTAAAAAAAAAAAAGTTCAAAATTGAAGTTTATTTTTAAAAGAGTCTGAATCATGTGTCTTCTCCATTGTGGGTACATCTGTTTAAAAAGGTAAATTGTTAGATTTTGTTATTGGTCAAATATTTTTGAAAATTCAAAATAAATAAGAATGATCAATTTGTGGGCATGGCTCTGAGTGCTTAAAATAAATTTGCTTCTACTATATCACATTTTATGTGCTTGACATTGTCTCTACTGCAATTAATGGAGTTCTAAGTGAATTCTATTGTTGTAAAAATGGAAGAAAAATATCTATAAAGAAATGACATCATCTTGACTGCCACTATGGTCCATGCAAGTGACCCAGATGCTCTTTTCATACCTTCATAGGTTTTAAATCTATGCTACGTGTTTCAAGCCTTTACCCTCACTCTGTGGCTGTCTCAGGGTTACATCGAATACCCAGTGGCCATCACCATCTGTTCTCTCCATTGTCTTAAGCGTGTACGATTTGCGACAGGTAAGAACAGAAATCGTAGCTGGATTCTATTTAGCTTCTAGCTGCACAAGAAGCCAAACCTATGGCTTTTCCACTGAGAGCAAAGAGTTGCTTTGTTAAACGTAAGTCATAACAAGAGAAAAAGCAAGGGCTTACTAAATATGGGACCTCAGGAGGAGGGCTTCAAGAATACCAGGTAGATTTAAACATCTTTGCAAACTCTGATTATCAACTGATGGCTGCACTGAATACAGTGTTTAGAAGGACTCTGAGGCTGTGTCTGAGCATAGTGGGAAAGAAAACAGTGATGGATTAATGATGACAGCATAGTACCTGTCCGTCTCTCTTACCATCGCTGTTCATCTTATAGCCATTTAAAATCCTCCTTTTAAAGAAAAAATCAGTCTTATAAATGGTATAGCAACACATTCAGAAGTGGAATCTAGCTGAGTATTACTTACCACAGCCTTTCTGAATCTCATTTTCCCACAGCATCTTTCTAGAAAATGTTCTACTACTTTGCTTAAGATGCATCAGGCTAGGGCTTCCCTGGTGGCGCAGTGGTTGAGAATCTGCCTGCCAATGCAAGGGACACAGGTTCGAGCCCTAGTCTGGGAAGATCCCACATGCCGCGGAGCAACTAGGCCCATGAGCCACAACTACTGAGCCTGAATGTCTGCAGCCTGTGCTCCGCAACAAAAAAGGCCGCGACAGTGAGAGGCCCGCGCACCGCGATGAAGAGCGGCCCCCGCTTGCCACAACTAGAGAAAGCCCTCGCACAGAAACGAAGACCCAACACAGCAAAAATTAATTAATTAATTAATAAACTCCTACCCCCAACATCTTCTTTAAAAAAAAAAAAAAAAGATGCATCAGGCGAAATTATGAGGCGATATCCAAAGGGTGTCTCACTGTATTTGTTGTATATTTTTGAAAACTTGACTGTGAAATTGGCTTTTTAGACACAGGAAACAATGGTACTTGTATCCTCCTGTCAACTCTATTGAACTGTTGAAATCACCTAGTTTTCTCAAACTTCATCCTTCATCTAGAGAAGAGGAAACTAAGATTTCCAGGGGAAACAAACAAGGGAGCTTGTTCAGGTCATAAAGTGGGTTTGTGACAGAGTCAGGGCTTCTGGCTCCTCATAAGTGAAATTCTATTGCACGTGCAATATTTCCTTAGCAGAAAGCACTTTCCAAAGTAGCACATAGCTGGGGAAGAAAGTCAAACCTACGTGTGAGAGGAGAGATGAATTCTAGCTATCAGCAGAGTAAAGTCTGGGCCCATGTCAGTAAGGCAGATGTGGAGGCTTTTAAACAAGCCCAACTGAAAGAGATCTTTTATTTTTACTCTATTTCAGTCACTCAGCAAATATTAGATCTAAGATTGGCTTTTTCTCTGGTTTTAGATGCTACAAATTTTGAGCTATGAAGTGTTTGATGAGAAATGAAAGAAACGCAATATATATTTAAAGAGTTAGAAAACAGGACCTAAAAATGAAAAGTTAAGTCAACGGAGACACTTTGAGCTAGAGAGTGAGGACTAGAAGGGCTTTGTTTTATTTATTTATTTGTTTTGTTTTGTTGGCTTTTTCTTTTTTTTTTTTTTTTTTTTGCGGTACGCGGGCCTCTCACTGTTGTGGCCTCTCCCGTTGTGGAACACAGGCTCCGGACGCGCAGGCTCAGCAGCCATGGCTCACGGGCCCAGCCGCTCCGCGGCATGCGGGATCTTCCCGGACCGGGGCACGAACCCGCGTCCCCTGCATCGGCAGGCGGACTCCCAACCACTGCGCCACCAGGGAAGACCCCTTGGCTTTTTCTTTTTAAAAAAAAATTAATGCCTAGTGCGTTTCTTCATGAACAAATTTAAATCACAAAAATATTAACAGTGATCAGTAACCTGCCTCTGATGGTGACAATTCCTTTCTGTCTGGCTGCCAAGTCAGGGGGCAGAGTGACTGTCCTTCTGGTGAACTCTGAGCATTTGAACAAAAGAAGGAAAATAAACACCAGGACAATAAAAGATCTGGCACTTTCTGCTCGGCCACAATAGGAAAGAAATTATCGTGTCCCAAACGTTTACCTTTGTCATTTGATAGAGGTATGTAATGTGAAGCCCCCATATCAAATTTCTAGTTCCTGGGTTTTGAGAAATCTTTGTTTTAATAGAATATCTAATTTGATACCTACGAGCCACTCCTATGCTTTCTGGCTGATGTCAAACCTCAGTGAATACGGGTCTTCTCCCATGTGCTTCCCTCTATTGGGAATACATAGACACACAATCACCTGAGTATATCATCGCAAACCATCTCAGGGTTCTGAGGAAAAATACAGAATGCTCTGAGGACTTTGGCAGGGAGATCTTATCTAGTCAAGTTAAAATTCCCCGCTCACTACTCCTATTTGTGTTACTTGACACTATTTGTTACTTGACACTTTAATGGTCACCTTCCTTATTTGTAAGAGTGTGTGTGTTTGTGTTCAATGTTATAGTCAAGAAAAGTAAATGAAACAATGCATCTGAATTACTTGTGTTCCTGGTACCTAGTAGGCACTCATCAAATGTTACCTTTATTACCGTTATGGCTGTTGCTGTTTTTATTACTGTTCTTGGAGTGGGGAAAGTAGATTATGGAAAGATGGGAGGAGGCACAGAGATTGAAGGGAGGAGGGATAACTTGAACAAGAAAGTAGCACAGGAACATCCCAGGACAGGGCTTCTAACCACCACTGACTCATTTATTGTGTGGCTCTGGGATCTCTTTTCTCCTCCCTGGACTCACTTTCCTCAGCTGTAAATAGTGGAGGTTAAACTCTGTCTCTTTAGGTTCCACCTTTTTTAGGCTTCTATCATTTTGCCAGGGCCACCAATAAGGCATGAAAAAAGGGCTCTTGGAAACTTTAAAACACTAATAAGAAACTTTCTGGCCACTGGGAATGTGGGAGCACGTTTTGGAGACTGGAGTCAATTCCTACAGGACCCTATTAATTTTGGACTAACTAGCCACATAGACTACTCAGTCAGGATGTGGACAAATAATAGAAACCTGTTTAAACTCCCTTAATCACAAAAGGGATATGGATTATAAATATGCACCAGTAGCTCACAAAACCCAAGATCATGAAGTACAGATGGACTTTACTGGGGGCTGAACCCAGGAGCTTGGGTTACTCTTCCCAGTCTCCTATTCTCAGACAAGTATGGAACGAAATACACATATTCTGGGGGCAGTGCTCCACCACTACTCCTCTCCTCTGAAAACTGGGTGTACCCAGAGCCCAGAGCTGACAGCCCACAACTGGTTTGTTCCATGTGGCTTTCTCCTTCCACTGGCACAGCTAGTTGGAACAGGGGGCACCCGACCAGAGGAAGCCAATCCATCAACAGGCGTGATGGCAACATATCTTTTTGCCTGAGATCCTGGAATAAAGCCTTGAAGCTGCTGGTCATACTCTGTTAGGAAAATGATCTGAAAAATGATGTATAGCTAGGACCAGGGTGGCCACTTTTGATCCCTGTGTATGGACAAGCAAAGAAAAAAAAACTTCTGCAGAGAAAGAGAGGAAAAGAGTGAACCAAATACACAGTGAGACACAGAGGTGAGCAATACACTGTCCAGCAGAGACAGAGTCACCTGTTCCTCACAGCGTTTTCTGTTCCTGTTCAGGAAACTTCCTTGGGACACTTGGCTGTACTTCCCACCCTTCGGTTCCTTCCTAAGACATCCCTGCATCCTCATATATTCTCATCCTCTGCTTAAAGCAGCCTAGCAAGTTTCTGTTACTTGCAGTCAATTTGTCCCAAGGAAATGTGGTGCTACTGTTTGATACATTATGCTCCCCTAGCATGTTTCCACCTATGTCCCCTGACTTAGATATTGTCTCTGTCCTACACAGTATCCATCTGTATCTTTATGACAAATTTCAGTGTCTCTTTTAAAATTCCTTTACAATGCCCATGTCTTCACTTGGAACTCAGGTATCTTTCTTTAAGGAAACCCCAAATAAATTTAGAAATTCCAGTGGAGGAGTAGGGGAAGTGTTGTAGCAAAAGTTAGGTTTGATTCTATAGGCCAGAGGGCAATGTTCCAGTGAGAAAATTACTTGAGATTCCTGAGTTCCTAAACTCTTACCTTAAATCAAAGTATCTACAGAATAAGAGGAATTTACACTTTTTAACAGTTTCATAACAGGTGATTGTTATGCATTCTAAAGGCTTAATGAACAGCTGTTGTTACAGAGGTACACACCAAAGGCAAATTCAAGCACCAAGATCCCAAATCTATCTATTTATTTATTTATTCATGTCATCACCAGCTGAACGTATTTTTCACTCTTTTTACTCTATCAGATGCACAGAAGTACAAGTTTATATGGAGATTTATTTAGATATTTATTAATTTGTTTTATCAAAACAGAATTGTCCTATGTGTGTTTATCTGGAACTTGCATTTTTCACCTTACAATATATATAATGGCCATCCACCATTATAAACAAATAATTCTAAATCATGTTTAAAAATAATGATGTGATATTCCATAGTATACCATAATTTATTCAAATATTCTTCTCTTTATGGAAAATAAGGGGTTTCTTCTCCAATTTTTGCCACCACAAATATGTTGAATTAAACATAACTACAGTGTAGGGTAGCCTTACATATTAGTGTTTGCAACCCTTTTTTCAGCAAAACAATCAAAACCAGGCTGCTGAATCAAAAGATATGTATGTTTTGAATATTAATAAATACTGTAATATTATTTTCCCCAAATGAAATAATTCATTCTCCTATCAGCAACATATGAGAATATTCATTTTCCCAGATCCTCACCAGCATTAGGTGTTATAGCTCGACATTTAAAAATTTCAATCTAATACTTTTTTTTTAATTGCATCTCATTGATGTTTTAATTTACATTTCCCTGACTGCTAGTGAGATTAGACACACACTTTCCTTTGTCTAAAAGAGATGTGCATTTTTTATTTACTGTCTGTTTATATCCATCATATAGGTGAAAAAGTTTTATTTTTTAGTCTTTTTTCTCTTGACCTTGACTTTTGCTAGATTTATAAAATATGCCTAGTTAAATATGTTTCTTTCTCTTTATGGCTTCTGGGTTTCTTGTTTTGCTTATAAAGTTTTCCTCTTCCAAAACTGGATATTCTTTTTTTTCTATTTGTAATTTTCTTAATATTTATTTTAAAGTCCTTAATGGAATTTAAACATGCAGATTCTACACCTTAAAGAATCCCTGAATGCCTTTACTCAAAATAATGACTGGCACGAGAATTTCAGACTTGATGGCAATATTGCAAAAGACTTCTTTGAAATGATGACACTAATTCCATTAGCAGTTAGCATTTGTTAATAAAACCTTAGCTGACCCAACCTGCAAGGCATCTTGTAACACTATGCAAAATGGGCCCGTTTCCTGAAACTGTATCTTTGCAGTTTAAACCACAAGTCCTCAACAATTAATATCTGTTTAGCACTACAATTTGCAATGGACTCTGACATTTATAATGAATGTGCTTGTATGAGGCTTGGCAAGCTGTGAAATGATACACATATGATATATCCTCCCATCACCTGAGAGGGAGGGACAGGGCCAATCAGGGATGTAAAGTGACCTGCTCACACTCACCCAGGAACGGCAGCTGCAGACCTTAGTCCCAGGTTTCCTGACTCCAAGTCAAGTCGCTGTGCCATTGAGCAAAATCTCAAAGTAACCTGTGAGCTTCCTGTGGCAGTAGATGAGGTTTCAATAATTTTATAACGAAAAGCAGATTTGGGGAGGAGGGCTGGCAGGATGGGAAGAAAGAGCATCTACTGCCGTCTCCAAATCATGCTAAATAAATACATGCTTTTGAGAATTGCAGGAGGGGAAGTGTTGGCAGAAGTGGGATAAGACATCTTATCCCACTTATCATGCATCTACTCTAGCCCCAATTCGTGTCGCACAGAGAGGTTAACCTTGCCTAAGCCAAGAAGCACCCCGTTGCAGTGCAGTCCCTTTCTACCACATTTGGTGCAGGTATGAGTGCAAACCTTGGCACTCAGTTGCATTTCCATGGAACTGTACTGGCTCCACGGGCGGCTGCTGGCAATAGCACGGAGAGTATCTGGCCTCATTCAGGACTGAGCTGGGCTCAAGAGACACCTGAGTTAATGCCCTCATTACTCATCTCTGGAGGAAATCCAGCCAGAGCAAACACAAGGACACACAGCAACAGATGCCAAATAATAACAGTATGCAAATTAGCCTTGGAAACGGATCCTGGTCCCACCGAACAGGGACTGGAGAAAGCAGAGGGGGCCTAATGAAAATCAGGCAGCGAGCTTCGAAATCATGGCAAGCATCACAGAGCTGGCTTTCTCCTAGCTGGTTGGTTGTCATAGAAACCTGTGTTTGTAGAGTTTCTGAGTACATTAGCTCAAAGAGGATGCTTATATTATCCTACTGTAGTGTTGCTGGGAGAAATAGAATAATTCAGTTCAATTAAATAAATATTTGCTGAGGATCTACTACGTGATACACCACAGGGGATACAGATAAATACATAGTCTCATCCTTGAACCTCCTGACTTAGAGGGGAGACCTGACAAGAAAACCGATAGCTCTAATGGAGTGGGATCTATACACTAATACAGGTGGAAACACAGTGAGCAGGACAATTAACTCTTGCTGGGGGTGTTAAGGACTTATGGAGAGGAGATGACATTTGAGCAGGACTTTATGTGAAGGATTAGAAAGAGTTGGCTAGTAGAAAACAGGGGTAAACATCCCAGGGAATAGCTCGAGTGAAGGCACAGAAGCATGGCAGTTTGTGCAGAATGCTAAGCCTGATAAACAAATCCAGCTTTATGCCATCATGAGTTTTGAGAATTACAGTCAAGCACTATTAACTCATACTTCACCACTTCCAAATGTGTTATCATCCTTTTAAGCTAAGTTGAAATTGTATGACATTGACTAAGAGAGTTTCCTAAGCAAGAAGATAACTTAAAGAAATTTGTAAGGAAGGATGTTTATCTTCTTAAAGGGCAAAAGCTGCTTTCAAGCACTTTCAGAGAACATATTCATCGACAGAAAAGGCTTTAGACTCAGATGAACCTGGTTTTATTTTGACTTTAATACTTAGTAAGAAAATGATTGTGGGCAAGTTACTTTAACATTTTCAAGCCCCTGTTTTTTTGTTTTTGTTTTGCTATATGTACTTTGGAGGTAATATAGCATTTTCATCATAGGATTATCTTGAGGATTAAAAAAAAAAATCAAGCCATCCATTCCAAGGGCCTAAAATAGCACCTGGCACATGGTGACTGAATAAAGTTCTAAACTGTTTAAAAATAATAATTTGAGTCATTTGTTATACTCTGGGTATTTCTTCTATGAAGCCTTGGGGCTTTTGAATAAATCTCTGATATGCAAAATAAATCATGTCATTTTAGAGCTTGAAGGGAAGTTGAGAATAATCCAGTTCAATGTTGTCTGTTTACAAAGGAAACGGCTAACGTATGAGGTGAAATGTCTTATGTATGGGTATCTGGCTAGTTAGTGGGTAAGCCTGACCCACCACACAGGAATCCTGACTGAATCCAGTGCTGTTGCTACCAAACCGCTTTCTCACTGTCACCCACCATTTAAATGAATGCCCCAACAGGCGAGCCTCAAGGAGTCAAGTTAGGGCAATGAATATGTGCCCAATATCACTTCTTCCACTCAACTGGTCCAAATAATTGAAGTTTAGCTTTTCATCCAAAACTGAAGTAAATAATAAATAGTTCTATATAAATATTAACACTGAACTCATTGTGTTCTCTCGAGAGGAAAGATGCATAACTGTGTGGAATGCTTGTCTAAGCCTGATGAGATTTATAACATTAGACATCATCAACAAAACAGATAAAAATAATTTAACATCTAAAAAGAAGTTTTACATTTGAATTATGTTAAGCTGTGTCTAACCATGTTGACAGTATTCAGACCTCTTCTACTTAGAGTTATCTGAGTAACTGACATCCATACAGAGAGGGGCAGTGCTTTCCAGGGTTGCCTCGGCTGGTCCAGCTTTGTACTCCCTCTGTCTCGTGGCGCCCCTGATAGTCAGTTTAGAGAACTCTGTGGACCACATCCCTTCTCACCTCTGTTTTCCTGTCCCCTAAGTCATTCTAGCAGATGCTCCCTCCACTTCTCCAGGGTGCTTCCATTTCCTCTGCTTTGTCAGGGTCCTATCTCAGTGAATTCCACCTCAAGTGAATTTTTCCAGCTGATGTACTCAGACAACTGTTTTGTTTTGTTTTTTAACAACAACTTTCTTATTAATCATCGACACTCACTGAGCTCTTACTATAGTAATGAATACTATCCAAAGGGTTAAGTAAAATAAGATAAGCCTTAAGTAACTTAAAACAAACGTATAAAATAGATACTGCTGGGGCTTCCCTGGTGGCGCAGTGGTTGGGAGTCCGCCTGCCGATGCAGGGGACACGGGTTCGTGCCCCGGTCCGGGAAGATCCCACATGCCATGGAGCG